TCTTCTTCTTCTTTGTCTGCGTAATAATTTAGCTACAGAGAAATGCTGGCTTGGTAGTCATCATCACCATTACCACCATCGTTCTCATCATCTTCCTCATTGGCATCAACCATCGTCATGTTGCTAAAATTTTCTTGTTCTTTTTCCTGATCTTCCCCATCAGACCCGAAGCATGCAGCTCTCTGCTCTATCTCTAGACACGCTGCACCTGTCGGGATAGAAGAAGAAGAAGAAGAAGAAGAAGAAGAAGAAGAAGAAGAAGAAGAAGAAAACCCTCACGAAGTGCTGGGTTGAATCAAGCACCAATCCAAAAAAAAGAAGGGAAAAAATCAAGCATCAATCAACCAATCAATCAATCAATCAATCAATCAATCAACCAATCATTCAATCAATCAATCAATCAATCAGTTCAACTCAATCAATCAGTTCAACTCAATCAATCAATCAGCTATCAGTTCAACTCAATCAATCGGTCAATTGGTCAATCATTTGATCGGTTGATTGATTGATGCATCGGTTGAGCAGACTGATAAAAAAAGTAACGAATTTTATGTCATTAAACAGCGGAACGCAAGGTAGCTGACCCGCTGTCTCTCCGTCGATTCTTCCTGCATCGTCTTTCTTCTCCCAGTTTCGAACCCGTGTCCTCCTCGTAGTTGCTCCTGGCAGATATCGGCCCATGTCAGCAATCAATCAATGGATGGGGGGGGGTCTTTTTTGGAAAGTGGAGGCCCATGTCAGCAATCAATCAATGGATGGGTGGGGTCTTTTTTGGAAAGTGGAAGAGCGATCGACTTCGACCGAATGGAAAGAGGGCAAGTTATGGACTGTCGTCTTCACCGGAATAGAACGCCCGGTCATTATCGCTGTATCTAGAGTGAACGTTGTCCCCAATACAAGTATAATGACCACCAGACTCTCTATTCAGGCGGGTGAAAACGGCAGCAGAGGTGAAGGGTGAAGTGGGATGATAAGGCTTCCTACTCTCAAGTGCCGTTCTAAAATACATGTCGAACCGAACGACCAGCCATCTCAATACTTTCTGAAACCACCAGTTCACACGAGCCTAAGGGCATTATACTCACACTGCGACTGTTTCCACTTCTCTGTGGACGTAAGACAGGTTAGGGGCATCCTGTCGCGGTCTGAAAAGCAGAGTAGCATAGATCAAGGAAAGTCTTAGTGGGAGTGTGCTCTGCGTTGGGGAAGCTACCCGCCTAGGCTTTATACAACCCTGCAACTGCGCCTTTTCAAAGCGGCCTGCCGCTTCCGCTACCAGCCTACTGTAGGCCCGAATTGAAATGCTCTTGCCGCATAAACCAGCAAGAGCAGTCGTAACTGCAGTACTCTGCTTCGGCGGAACTGGGGGTTTAATCAATCAACAAACCAAGAAGTTGATTATTTGATCGATCTAGTCGAGCGGAAAATGAATGAGATCAAAAAAAAAATGCTTTCCTTTCTCGATGTGCTACTAGTCCCTTGAAGCGAAGCAAACATGCTATTCATTCAGTCAAGCAATCACAGTGACAAAGTGCCTGATCGCTTGCTCGCTTGGTTGGGTGTGTGCTTGGTTGGTTAGTTGCTTGCTTGATTGATTGATTGCTTGCTCGCTTGGTTGCGTGTGTGCTTGCTTGATTGCTTGAGTGGTAGATTTGCTTGCTTTGTTGATTGATATAATGATAGATTGATTGATGGATTGATTGAAATACATCGAGATTGCTTGCTTTGTTGATTGATATAATGATAG